GGGTGTTGGTGGAGGCATTCCAAGGCATGAGGCCTGAAACATGGGAAGTTTTCAGAATCTTGGAGATTGTATGGTATATCCAGGCCAGTGGCTTTTTGGTGTCTCCATCCTGGTCTCTGTTGCCTGCCCAGCACACAGGAGGGGCTGCCTTCACTATAACCCCCAAGCCCTCACCTGCTATGCACAAGGACCCCCGTAAATTCATTGAGTCAGACCTCAGCCAGCAGGTGATTTAGGTTTTGTTTATTGATTTTAGAGAGAGAAACATACATTTGTTTTTCCACTTATTTATGCATTCATTGGTTGACTCTTGTATCAGACCCGGGATCAAACCCACAACCTTGGCATATCGGAATGACGCTCCCACCAACTGAACTACCTGCCCAGGACCTTGATTTAGGTTTTAAAAGTGGGTTCTGGCAACATTTATGCTGCCTGCTCAACCCCGCTTGTACCAGCCTGTTTGCCTCCCTGTTACTGTCCCAGTTGGGCAAGTTTCTGGCTATCCCAGTTAGAGGCCCGCAGAACAGGGGCACTGGCTAGGTTTATTTCCAGAACCCAGCACTCAGGGCCAGGCTCATACAGACAAAGAATGTTTGCTGAATTACTCAGTGGAGTGCTAGCCTTGCTGCTTCCCTCTTTTTTTGTTGTTGTTAATCCTCACCAGAGGCTATTTTTTCCATTGCTTTTCAGAGAGTGGGAGGGGCAGGGAGTGGGAGGGAGACACACAGAGAGAGACAGCCTCCTGTATAAGCTTCAATTGCCCCAACACGGGCTGGGAGTGAACCTGTAACCTAGGTACATGTCTTTGACCAGAAATCAAACCCGAGACCCTTCAGTATGCAGGCCAACACTAACCATTGAGCAACACAGGCCAGGGCGCTGCTTCCCTCTTGTTCTTTGGAGCTGCCTTTGCTCTCCTGGGCACCAGCTCCCTCTCCTCCTCAACTACTCTCTCGACAACCTGGCTTCACCTAGCCCAGGGAACTGAAGGTCTGCTTAATTTTATATAGACAGCTAGGTCTCCAACTCTGATTATCTGTGTTCCATGCCCCCCAATTTTTTTTAACACCCCTCCGATAATGCAAATCTTTGGACTTTTCTTTAAAATATCACTCTTCTTTAGTCCTGCAGTGACCACTGTCCAACTCAAGCCCTACTCTCAATACTCTTGAATTGGGACACCTCCACTCAGGCCTAGGTCACACGTTGCAACATTCAAGGACAGTGAGAGCTCCCCTTCAGAAAAACTTCCCTTCACCAAAAAGCTGGTGTGGGTGGCCTGACTTCACTTAGCTCACCTTCTGAGTTTTACATGTGTAGGGTCCTCTACCCCTCTCCTTTGGTCATTCACTGAGGGACATCCTTCTTGATGACACTCAGAGGATTTCTGAGGGAAGCAGGACACAGGACAAAGTATGAGTGTGTGGTAGGGCAAGAAGGAAGAAGAGAGTTGCCTTTTAAAAGTTTTTATTTCCAAAAATAAAGCCACAATTAATTTCACATAAATATCTGGGGAGGGGGAAGGGGAAGAGGGTTGGGAGGGGCTTGGCCCCTACCTCCTCTTCTCTTTCACACTGTATTGTAAAAGCAAAGGGGATGGCTATGGGGAGAACAAGGGGGAGAAGTAGTCAGTGGGAGAGCTCGCTGCAGAAGGCCCCCTCAGCCCACCCCCGCCCTGGAGCTGCCTTGGACCTGGCTCACCTTGCCGAACCAGTGGGAGAGCCATATCTGCTTCATGGTCATGTGATCAGGGAGAACTTCATTATCAAAAAGGACCTGCACCTAGTAGAGAGGTGGGGGCACAGTTTTGAGCTCTCCTCTCGAACTGTCAAAAACTAACCTGGTCCACTCTCTCCCTCCCTTTGTAGCCTCCTCCCCTCCCCACAAAAGCCCACTGTGGGAATACTCACATGCTGGGGATTTAGCATCAAGCGATGACATAGGACCCTCCGGAGATGGCGAACCTCAGCTCTAACAGAACATCGAACATATTTGTTCTGAGGGTGGGGAGGGGAAGGGAGAGGACAAGGTGTGTGAGAAAAGGGCCCTGGGGAGGTGAGTCTCCTTAGAGAGGCCCTCCCTCAGCCCCTCTCACCTGCAAGACACTTTTATTCTTGTCTTTGCCAGAACTGGGGAAAAACAGACACAGGTTAGGGAGCCCTATCATCCCCTTATCCCCATCCAGAGCCATGATATACTCTCCTCAAGGGAACAGACACTCCCTTACTGCACACCCTCTCCCTGAGCCCCTCCCTGGTTCTGGGTCATGGACGCTGTCACTTCAGATGGCCCAGGACCTGCCCCTTACCTCAGCCGCTCCAGGCATAGGCTCAACTGCTCATCATAGCGATAGTAGTGGGCTTTAGAATGGTCGAAGCTACTGAAGGGGAGGCCGAGGTTGCTCAGGGCTGGCTCTGAGAAAGAGAGAGTAGTGAGGAGAGTAGCAAAGGTGCCATATTCCTTTTTCCCCAGAGAGCAAAACTGGGCAGGAGGTATGCTCTGGGGGCTTTACCTTACCCTCCTGCTGCCAAGGGACATACCTTCCCCACTGGGCTGGGTGACTCGGTCCAAGCCTCGAGACTGGTAGAATTCTCGAATCCGTTTCTCTTCACCTAGAAGGGAGTGGAGTATGGACAGCAAAGTATTAGCTGTCACTCTGGCTGTCAATCTCTTTACCTACATGATTCCCACTAAAGCCCTTGTCATCTCAAACTGCTACCCAGCGTTAGTCCTCTTAGAAGCCCCTCAGAGTCAGGTTGGTCACTCACTGTCTTGCAAGCCAGGCACTAGCTTGTACACGATGTCCTGCATGACCCGGTCCAATTTGAGGTTGAGCAGTGGCTGTGTCTCGTGGATCTTGATGTTGCACATGGGGCAGTACTTGCTGGTTTGGAGGTACTTCACAATACAACTCTTGCAGACTGCAGGAAGAGAAAAGCAGACTCTCAGGCCTCTGGGAATCAGATGGGGTACCTGGGTGGTTGAGGCAGGCGGTGCAGAGGCTGACGGCCGGCTTGGCGGAAACGAGGGCCTGGCAGAACCAGCCAGGGTCCAAGGAACTCACAAGTATGGAGACACTCTGTGATGGTGGTGGCATCCACGAAGTAGCCAGCACACAGGCAGCAGACGATGTGCTCATTCAAGTCTTTGATCTTTACTCGGACCTCCTCCTGCGGGCACACCCGCCGTCACGGATCACCCTCCCCAAACCCAACCCTTCCGCCTTCCCAGCCCGGGGCTCCCTTCTTTCTTCAGATCTCACCGCCAAGCCCCGCACCTTGCACTGTCAGCAAGGGATTAGCTCCCGGGGGCTGACACTACCCCTCTGCCCAGCAGAGGGCTCCGCGCCCAGCGGGGGCTCCCTTCACGTGGATTGGCCCGACCTTCCTCTCCCGGGGAGACTACGGGACGTGAGCTGCACAATACGCAGGCGTCTTAGCCAAGAGTTTGGCAACGCCACCTCAAGCACGCAGGCGCACTGGGGCCCCCTGTCTCTGCGCAGGCGCACTGGGCGCCCGGCCAGTCACGGCCTGTCCTCTAGTCGGCCCCAGTTCGCACCGCTAGCCGACCACAGCAGTAACCCTGCCGCCCCTGCACCTCGTTCCGTAGCGGGTCCATCTTGTACACTGACTGGAGCTGGTTCCGAAGCCTCATCGCGATCGCAATCTGGCCCCCCTGAGGAGACGCCATCTTAAAGGCTGATCCTGGCCTGCCACTTCCGGTGCCGCCTGCAGGGCGGGACTTGTCGCCCAGCAACGAGGGCTTAGGTCTTTCTGGATTCGCTGACCCTCTGTAAAGCCCCGCCCACGTCTTCTGTCCCCCGTGTGCTCACCTGAGTCCCAGTAGCCCCTCCCCCTCCTCAATTCGTAATTAGGGAGTGCGGGGGGGAGTGGGGAGGGGTCCTGTCTCTTTGACCTCCCGTCGTAATAATCATAATAGACCCTACCGGGCCTCGGGACTAACTTTTGGAGCCTGCGAAGACTGCCTCCCCCTACCCCAAAAGGCCAGGCGATCTCCGCCCGCCACCGCTAAGGGTCGTCCAGCTCCCGTGACATCGGCCCCGCTAAAGCCCCTCCGGGGCTCTCTCTCCGCGAAGTCGCCCTAGTCGGCTGACGTCTCAACAGTACGGAGCTTCATCCGGATGGCGGGCCTTCTCCCCGCTCGAGAGCGGGAGTTTTCTCGGGGCTTTGCGGAGTCTCGGGGAGGGTGACGGGGAGGAGGGACCCCTAGAGACTTGGTAGTGATCTTACA